ATACATTAGCAATTATTTTAACAGATTTTAAATTGCATATGTTAAACCAGTGACACAGTGTAATTTTTCATGTTAGATTGTAAACTAGTAAACTACTTGCTGAAAATACAGCCTGCAGCATTTTTAGCAAGACTAGATTGCATGCGATCTAGCATGAAAAATTAATATATTTAATATTATTTTTGTTGCTAATGGACGAGTGTCAATCACGATGGACGCGATTAAGAGAGCGATACACAAGAGAAAAAAAACAAAGACAGGAAGAAACAACTACTGGAAGTGGAGCATCAAAAAGGAAAACTTTTGAGTTTTTTAACAACATGCAATTTTTGGATCCATTCGTTAAGAAAAGAAGGTATAGTAAAAATTAGGATGTTGAAAAATTAGAATAATCAAGATTTCTTTTTTGTATATTAGTCTTAGAACTCTTTGCATGTTACGGCAATTTTTTGACATTATTTTTTTCTTTTTTCAGAACAATGACTAATGTGCAACATGCCAAAAGCTCTCCATTGACAAAACGATGTATTTCTCTTCAAAAGTAAGATATATACGTAATTCATATAAAATTAAAAGCGCTTTTATTTGCAAATCTGTAATAAAATTTTTATTTTCTAATTTTAGAAACTTTAACTTTAGTAACGAAAAAGAAAATCTCTCTTTGGCGAATGTGGCTACCTTACAACAGAATTTTTCAAAAGTTAACAATGCAGAATCATTGGAACAAAATCGATTTACAAGCTTAAGTGGCAGAAACGTTAATGTATCTCCTACAAATACAACTACTTTACTTGAACAACAACAGTCTTTTACAGAAATAAATCAAGCAAAAATAAATCAAAGATAAATATTTTTACAAGCATTTTTATTTCTGGCATTTTTTTAATAAATTTTTTATTTGTTTCATTTAAAAAAAATTTATATTTGTGTTTAGAGACTCAACTTCACTTTCACACAAATCAAGCGACGCGGTAACATCATGCCAGTCTGATGCTTCTTCAATATCAGTATTAAGTGCCTCTGATTATGCGCGAAAGAAAGGTTTAAGTAGGCAAATAAAATCAAAAGGAAAATCGCAGCCAGATGTCGTAAATGCAATTTCTAAAGTTACATCTTTACTAGAGAATAAATACTCTTCAATTTCTCTTCTTATTTTTATTGTCCCTTCTTTTTTTTGATAGATCAGACCATTTCTAATAAAAATGATGAAAACTAAAACTATATTCAAGTATATATAATAATACATAATAATAATATAATAATTACATATATAATAAATTATATAAAATATATCTTTGCAAATACTTACATTCTCACTTTTATAATCACAAAAAAAGTTCTCTTGATTTTCTTTTCAATATTGTGTGTTCCTATTTATTTCCTCTGTAACATTATTTTCAATATCAAAACTCAAAATCCTATCTCAAAATAAAAACTGAATAAAAGATATTTAAAATTTCTATGCTCTCTATGTATCGTCTTACTCACCATGTGATTTCGGTGTTCAAATAATTTTAAGGTTAGAATGTAAAGCCTTATGCACAAGCTTGTGCGTTGAAGAACGTTACGTTATGCTCTATGCATTATGCCTTATGCGTTATGTAAAAGTCTGTGCTCGGGCCTTAAGCATAAGGAAATTGATTGGTCCGTTTCCTTATGCATTTGCTTATGCTTATATATAGACCAATCAATTTCCTTATGCTTATGCGTTATGCTTTATGTAAAAGTCTGTGCTCCGGCCTTAAGTTAAGACCGAAGCATAAACCAGCCATGAGAAATGAAAGTCAGATCCTGCGCACAATAAACAAAATAGGAAATAGAAATAGGAATAATTATTAAATATTAGAAATAAGAAATTGGAATTATTTATTTTAAAAATAAAAAAAATAGAAAAAATTAATGAATGAATTAAGAAATAAGAATTGGAACTATAATATAATTAATATATTTTATTCTCTTGTTAGATGTAAAATAATTTCTCTTTTTAATATTAAATGATTATTGCTATTTCTAATATTTTGTCTACTGTATGCAAAGCCTCAGAGTAATAAAAGTTAAAGTATTTTATAAAATTTATAGTACAACAATAATAAAACCGCCTAATCTCTTTACGCTTGTCACTCGTTATGTCTAGTGGCACCACTACACGAGTGTAACCATGTCACAGACACAGAATCTCTGTGTGAGAATCGCTACATCAATATGGCGGAAAGCAGTCCCCCCCGCACGCTTGAATTACCATCCCCTCTCGCTTAAACTAGGACTTTAGACTCAGGTTGCGTTCCGTTTTGCGCATAGCACGCATCGTTCGCATCGCTAATGCTTAGCGCATTGGCTGCTTTTCGTTTCATTATGCGCATGATACATGCTTTGAAACGGAACGATATTGAACGCATTAGAAGCGGAAAATCAAGGACGGTATTCATAGTCCTTTCTTATATTCAAAATCGTCTTAAGCACGGACTTATATTCGCTTTCTTCGTCAAACATAGATTGTGTCTGACGAAGAAAGCGAATATAAGTTCGTGCTTAAGACGATCTTGAATATAAGAACGGACTATGAATACTGGCCCAAAATGGATTCCACAATAAATTGCGCTATCAATGTGACAATGTTTTTAATTGATGAAATGAGTGACAGTAATAGTAGTGAATCATCAATGACTCTTCCATTATGACTCTTCCTATTTTGACACTTTTTACAATATCGCTATCAATCGCCATATGCAATTACGCAATCGCATGGAACGCATAAGCTGCTGCAACTCAAACTTGAGGTAGCTGATGCGTGTATTATGCGCTGCAGATGGTGGGGATTTAGGGAATTCTAAGCGCTGTTTATGCGCGCATTGAGTGAAACGGAACGTTTTCTATGTAATTCGTGCGCATAATGTGCGAAACGGAACGCAACCTTAGTCCCTCTATTCCTTAGTCCGTGCTCCCTCCTGTTTCTTTTTACTCTGAGGTTTCTTTTTACTCTGAGGCTTAAGACAATCTTGAATATAAGAACGGACTATGAATACCGGCCTATGCGCTGACAGAAGCTTGTGCGGTGGCCCTTAGGCCGGTATTCATAGGGCGGTATTCATAGTCCG